CAAATGTTATTTGGGCATATTATTTGTGAACAAACGGCCTGAGACAACATAAATATGACATATAATTTTAATGATAGTATTTAGGCTAAAAATTTCTTATAAGAACAATAATCTTGTTAGTGATGAAAATTCATGCTGTCTGTTGATTATAAGTTTCAGTGCTACAAGGATAAAATGAAAAGTTGTGAAATACACTATCTGTGAAGATGTGGTGATATCCTAATGTAACTAGTAAAGAGTCAGAAATCTGATTTTTGCCAATTAGTAACTCAAAGAGCTGCTTTGAAATGAAAACGTTTTTTTCTATTCTTTTAGAGTTCACCTGGCACAGACGGTATTACGGTCATGGAGGTAAGTTGAATCTTTGAAGTAGTTGTTTTTTTTTCCTGAGTCAAATAATATTCTGTCTCCGCTTTACTATGAAGTCTCTGAATTAAAAGTCTGTAAATATAAATGCTTAGTCTTTAATCTCTTGGAAATTTGGTAAAGATGTCACCTATGAGATTATAGAGCAACATGTTTATTTACTTGACAAGACAAATAAATGAACACATTACAAATATCCTATTAAAGAATTATAGCCTATAAAAAGTCTTTATTAAATTTGACTTGTTTTGTTTTTCTTAAATGCTCTTTAGCAATATTATACTATTAAATTCTGAAGCAATATTTTAAATATTGAAAACTGCTCATTTATTTCTGAAAGACTAGTTTTCCTACAAGAGAGATCATTGAAGTTAATGAATTTAGTGCCTAAGATTCTGTTCAATTAGGAGTTCAAAACTGTTACATTTTTATTGAGTTGCATTGAATATAATTAATAATTCAGAGAGCTTAGATGCTACTGACAATTTTCACCAGAAATAGAGGCAGCCTGATACACTAGAGAGCATATAGTTTAAAATAAGATCAGTAAATAATTCAAATTCTATGAGCATCCACTTTCTAATATGTTCAAATCACAAGATTGTTGGATGGACTAAAGAGAGAAAGTGAAGGGTAAGCGTGGTAATTTGCAGCACAATGAAAGACCTAGGAGGTGCTCGGTGAACATGCAAACTTGTTCATTTATCTAAGCCACTTCAGAGCAGTAAGATAATGGGAAACTGAGAGGAAACACTGAGAAATCAATGCTACCACCTGCTTGCTCAATCAAGAATATCCCTGCCAGATTGATTTAGAAAAAAAAAGTACTTATGAATGGATGCTGTGTTTAAGAGGAAAACATTAGTCTAAATTCCACCTAATCCATTTCTGGTTCACCCTGTGAGCTAATTGCTTGATTTCAAAAGGTGACATAAATAAGCAGGCAATACTTTTTTATAAGAAAAATATGTAATGGACACTTGAAAGAATTAAGGAGCCCTGGTGGTGTAGTGGTTATATATTAGCCTGTGATCCGCATGGTCGGCGGTTCGAAACCACCAGCAGCTCTGAAGGACAAAGACTGGGTTTTCTACTCCCATAAACAGTTACAGTCTCGCTATGAGTCAGCATTGAGTATAGTTTGGTTTTTAAGGAATTCCAGAAATATTTTAAAAGTAGGCAAAGGAACCTTGAAGTATTTCAGATGTTATAAATGGTATTAATTCCAGATGGAGGAAGTAGCACAAATAAAAATACAGACATAGAGAAATGTGGGCTGTGCTTAAACTTAAGCCAGTGTTTCCTAACATATTAGGTGGGCGGGGGGTATCTTTGACAAGAAGTTAGTAGGAATTACATTTAAAAAAACTTCATGGTCCAGCAAATATGGAAATATTGGTGAATTAAAGTTTATTTTTAGTTTTAAATAATTAATATTGTGAATGCCTTTTACATGGAAAAAAAACATAGTATCTATGCTAGTGATAGTATAACATCCTAAGTAATCAGTACTGTCATTCTCTGAGGATGGAAAGTTGTAAAACTTGAACATTTTCCCAAGCTCAGTCAGGAACTGGTAGTTACCTGAGAGGGGTAGAAAAAAAAAGAAAGAAAACCTTATCTTAGTGTTGACTCAGAGGGGTAGAAAAAAAAAGAAAGAAAACCTTATCTTGGTGTTGACTCATCTCAATGTAAATCCATGACTATTAATACCAAATGGGCAGCTGGTACTGTGTGTGTGGCAAACATACTGTAGTCCCCTAGAACATTCTTTTGCTCACTCCCCTAAATCATGCCCTACTGTCCCTGTTCTTCTCAAACCTCCCACACATTCTTACCCATCCTTAGATTCATCGGATAATTTTATATCCTTCTACATGGAGATATTAGAAATAATCAAAAGGGTCTCCACTTCCACTTCTATTCATCGCCTAAATCTCAGTCTACATCAGTGCCCACGCGCTCTACCTTCCTCTCTATTTCAATGCTCTCTCCAGGCCAACCTCCAGGCATTGTCTCCTCATGAGAAAGTTCTTCTCTACCAAGTTATTTCCAACAAGCTATAATTCCTCTCATTAAGAACAACTCAAAACCTCTGTTGATATCCTTCAACTAATGTCTCACGCAGCTGATATTTTAAAATTTTACCCCAAAATATAAAACTTACTTTTATAAACAAAATTACTTTTATATTTCACAAAATAGCCCATGCTTATTGGCCTCAATTTTTGACCCTTGCCTCCTTAGAACCTACTGTGATGAGGCTTTCATTCCACCGTGCAACCAAGACAAGGTGCCTTATCTATGTCACTAATGACATGATCATTGTGAATTCAGTAGTTGACTCTCAGGGCTTCGCTCTGACCTACCAGCAACAATGCTACAGTTCTAACACCACACATAGATACACAAACTTGAGCAGGTAGTGGTAAAAGATTTTTTTCTTTCATTTTCATGTATAGCTATTTATAATAAAACCTTTGCTCGAAACTTTTCAATAGATCTCCAAACATTTTAATCATGTCCAGACATCTTAGTAATGTCACACATACTACCAAAACAGTCATTGGCAGGATTAATGGAATGAATGCTAATCAACTTTTGAGTTGTGTAAAGGTAGGATTTATCCTTGAATAAATCTGATCTTGACAAAAAAGTAAAAGAAGACAGATACTTTTAGTCAGCTAGTAATGTCTGCTGCATCCCTGTACCTGGAGCTTTTCTCTACTGAAAAGTTAAAGAAGCATATCTGATACTGTGTATCCTGCACAAACAGCAGGCATGCTCCCTATCATTTTTGTAGCACTCTTAAAAGTCTTGTTGAATTAGACTTGCTTATTTGTAGTTTTTTCGTTTTCTCTTTTTATGTTGTTTACGTAAAATAGAAGATTATATGTATTTTTAAAAGGTATAAACATTGTTATTTTGCACACTAAAGACTTCCTGGATTCATTTAAACAAACTTCACTCTTCTCTGTCTTTTAAAAATAGCTTCTTTCATTTTTAAGATGGTGTGAGCAGAACAGTCTACCCTATAGACATAAAGGAATGAATATAACTAGTTGTTTCCTACCAATAAGAGCCCTGGTGGTAGAGTTGTTATACCTTGGCTTGTTAACCCCAAGGTTCACAGTTTGAAACCACCAACTGTTCCAAAAAGGAAAGAAGAGGCTTTCCACACCTGTCAGGAATGACAGCCTTGGAAACCCACCAGGACAGCTCTCCCCTGCCCTATAGGGTCCTTATGAGCCGGGAAGGACTCAATCACAATGGCTTGCATTTGTTCTGTTTATTACTATAGTCGCCATACAGTTAGTGCATATTTCTAGCCACCCCATGTATGGCACACGGGTTTCAGTGGCTAGCCTATCAGCAATAGATCACCGGGTGTTTCTTCGAAGGGACTTTTCTGTGAGCTTGAGACACCTACCATTCCAATATGAAACCTGCTTTCATGAGTACATTACTTAGGAGTAAATATTTATTTCAGTTGCTTTTTTCCCCACTGTTGGTCTCTTTTAACCATATGTGAAGGAAAAATAAAATAAAACAGAACAAAACAAATCGAAGCTATTTCAGGACCAACATTTGCTTAGGCTAACCTACAACAGCAATAAACATCTTTTTAATTCCTTCTCATTTTGGGTGCAAAAGAAAGGGAAATGAAATAGCAGTATCATGTCTATTTTATAGATACTAGCATGTTTTTACAGTTAGAGCAGCGGTTCTCAATGTGTGGGTTGCGACCCCTTTGGGGGCTGAACGACCCTTTCATAGGGGTCACCCGATTCATAACAGTAGTAAAATGACAGTTATGAAGTAGCAACGAAAATAATTTTATGGTTGGGGGGATCACCACAACATGAGGAACTGTATTAAAGGGTTGTGGCATTAGGAAGGTTGAGAACCACTGAACTACAGGGTTGTTGGTTTTTAGTTGTGGTATTCATTTTAAAATAGTGAAAAGATACTATTGGGCATTATTTAGATCAAGAATTTAACTTCATGAAGAATTTAACTTCATGAAATTGTGGGGGGGACAATCATCATGACTGGGTTGGGAAGGGAAGTCATGGAATTCCCCATGCCTCCACAGTATTGAAACCCAAGTTTTCCAGAATTTTTCCCATTAGACTGACATCAATTTCTTAGTATTATTTTCAACATACTTTCCTGTCCCTATAACAGATTTGTTACAGTTCAGTGACACTGACTTATCACCATTTTGTAACATGCTCACCCATAGCTTCGTTACTTGAATTAGATCTAAGGCACCTGAATTGGGCGAGATGATAAAAGTAAGCCCACCAATGAGGGCATGCTATATCATAGGCGTGGTCCGGTATATTGTAGGTGTGAGAAGGTGCTCAGATACATAAATACGGTGTCTAGAGGTTGAAGAAGTGGACCCAAGCTAAGGCAGTTTTTATTATCAAGAGATGTGTTACACTTCTTTGGGAAAATTAAATTAAGCAAAAGAAATTAAGTCCACTTATCCTTTCTGCTAGGGAGGAGCCCTGGTGGCATAATGGTTCTGCCTTGGGCTGAGCTCTGCAAGGTGTGCAGTTCTGAAACCCCCAGCAGCTCCCCCGGAGAACGATGGGGCTCTCTGCTCCTAGACACGGTTACCTTCTGGGAAACTTACAAGGGCACTTATACCCATCCTATAGGGTTGCTATGGGTCAATAGTGATTCAATGGCAGTTGGTTTGGTTTGGTTTTCTGCTAGGGGCTCTCAAGTACACCGCTAAAGGTTGGTGGTTCTAATACTACCTCCATAGGAGAAAGATGTGGTCGTCTTCCTTAAAGATTACAGCCCTGGAGATCGTGTGAGCCTACTTTGCTTGATAGAGTCACTACGAATCAGAATTAACTAGATGACAATACATCTTGCAAACTTTCTGCTAACCTGACCCCTTTTTTAAATAACTGGACTTCTACTTGTTTGGGAGACCATTCATTACTTGGTATTCTAGTTGTGGTAGA